TTGATACACTTGTCAGGGGTTATAAATGGGCTTTTTAGTTCTCCACATTGCTCCCTTTCAAATGACTTTAAGTGGCACTGAGGATCTTCAAAATAGAAACCAATAAATCCGACTACACTGTAACTCCATTTCTTCGTTAATGATCTTAAGTCATTCTTGCTGCCCCTCCGCAAGGTCAATAATAATAACGAGTTTATTTTCTGAAGGGAACACTTGACAAATTGCACCAACATAACTGATAAACTAGAGGACTCCCTAAAAGATCTATCTAAAAATAAATTATATACTTGGAAAAATTTGAAAAAAATAGCGCTCAATAAAATTAGCATTGTTTAATTGTTGTAAGGGCTTGCTCTATTTGTTGGGAACGGTTACAGACAAGATAAAACAAGCTTTTCATTAGACAAACGTTGGATATGTAGCTGGCCACGTAACCGCCTTGTCAGGTATTTATTTTGCTTTCACGATACTCGAACTGTTTATAAACATTTAAAATAAATTTGTTTTTGCTAGGACGGAACAGCTACATCGATGACTCTGTGGTCAAATCCTGGCATCGTCAGGATAACCCTTCTGTTTTTCTTGTTTTATTAATTAAATATTACTTATCTATTATCAAATTGTTCATTATTCTGATAGCTGGAGAAGTGGAAGAAATACTGTGGAATCTTGACAAACGGACTCCCGCAAGTGGACACCTAGTAATGAACCTGGAGAAACCCAAACTCTGCAGTCTTAATCTCCCATAAGCGGACACCTCACTTTTACTAGTCCCTAGGTTGTCCGCTCAAGGGAGGTTCAACTGCATATCAATAGGTGGTAAATGGAAATGGCTAATTCATTACCGGGCTGCTTCCTTATTTGCACGTCTTTCGATGGAGTGAAGTCATTAAGCTTGAATTTCTCCCCAGGACCTAAGGAATAATGAGCTACGACATATGTTCCATCTCCTGGTGTGATTTTGATACCACAGCCAAGGCGAGCTTCACGAGCGTCAACCACAGATTTGAAATGAGTCACGTTTCCTTTACCTGTGTGACAGGAAATAAAATGGATTAGATTTTTTCCCATTTGTGTAATTTACAGCATTGTCCCTCATTGAAAAAGGATAAAAAGGAACGGTCTACACGATGGGATAAAGGGGTTATGGACTCCTAAGTAAACGCCGTATGGACTGAGGTATTTTAACTTTTAACACAACATCATGTTAAAAAAAATTAACATTTAGTCAAGAGTTGACTAGTTGCCTAAGAACCACCGACGGAAAACATCATTTTTGTACACATCATTTTCTGGAGGACAAAACCCATATCTCAAATGAGCTTCGGGAACAGATACGACTATATATTTTCTGCTCGTACGCGTAAAGCGGTTTAAATCAATATGGCGGTAGATTTTACTTCTCAGAGCTTGTTGATAAAAGTAAGGTAATGTTTAAACATTCCTACACAAACCTGTATTGTAACCGCAGCCGTTTCTTAACTCGCTGTACCAGCCAGTTCTCGAATGAGCTTCGGAAACAGATTCGACCTTATACTTTCTGCTAGTATAGCGGTAATGCAGCTTAAACGAATATGGCGGTCGACTTAACTTCTCAGAGTTGATAAAAATAAGGTGATGTTTAAAAATTCCCACACAAACCTGTATTGTAATCATAGCCACGTTTAAGCTCACTGTACCAGCTTCGTACTGCACCAGGAATCGCTCCTAGTTTAGTTTCCATTCCTTTCCAGCCCCAGCCCTTCCATGAAATGCTTTCAGCGTAATCATCTGTTGACTTAGACCGCTGAACTGTTTCTTGGCCAGCGATAAAATCTGCCCATGACTGCGCAGACTCAGCCAACTGTGGATCACACTTGAGCGGAGGGGAATTGTGTAAAGACCGGTAGTAATTGTGCTGCATTAGACACAGCCGCTGACACTGTGGACCGCACTCTGGATGTGAGAGTGACAAAGTGGGGAAACTAAACTACTGGTTTCACTGGCTCGCATTAGCTAACACTGACAACAGAATAAGCCAATACTATTGCTGTGTCGGAATAATTTCAGATAACTACTTTCGTTTGTTTAGCCTTTGCAAGAAGACACTGATTTAGTTTATCTAAACATTAAAATGTTATTCATGTGCTAAACGAAGCTATGTGGCTGTAATTAGCCAGTGCAACAGGAGTGGCTAAGATTTGAGTTGATGATAAATATACCGATCGAAGAACCTAAGTCCATTTTCAGTGGTATTTCTTTCTACTCCTTGCTACTTCGCAACACAAATACTCTTGATTTGGTGTTACCGTGAACACGACCCCCTTTCATTTAAATTTACGATCATTTTTGTTATCTGAGCATGTCTTACCCAATCGAGCTCCACAGTTACCAACATTTTTCCAATCTTGAGCTGAAGAAGAAATTAGAGAAAATGTAATTTCTGACGATTAAGAGACAACTTAGTCGGAAGCAGGAGCCATAATCGGGGACGGAGACCGCAAGTCTCGGGATTCGCGCGCACCTATGATATGGGACAA